TGGAGGATGAAATGGATAGGATGATGGAGAGGAGGCAGAGTAGGAGGTGGATAGGATGATGGAGAGGGGGTGGAGGATGAAATGGATAGGATGATGGAGAGGGGGCAGAGTAGGAGATGGGTAGGATGATGGAGAGGAGGCAGAGTAGGAGGTGGATAGGATGATGGAGAGGGGGTGGAGGATGAAATGGATAGGATGATGGAGAGGGGGCAGAGTAGGAGATGGATAGGATGATGGAGAGGAGGCAGAGTAGGAGGTGGATAGGATGATGGAGGGGTGGAGTAGGAATGGATGGAAAGATAAGGTGGATGTGGGATTGGAGATAGATGGGATTAGGGGTGGAGTCAAAGTAGACATGGTAGATATGGGATGATAGGATATGGATGATGGGGGGTAGAATTGTAGAGGATAGGATGATGGGGTTGGATACAAAGTGCAAAACTGTACTTTAGAGGAATTTTAATTATGCACCATCCATCAAACTCACAAATGCATGGCTAATATAATCCAGGTCTAGTCTGACTGTACTGGACCCACATTCTATAGGCATTCCTCTCTCCTGTAAAGAACTGTGAAGCCTTTGTACCTGTATCTCCCTTGTTGGTGGTCTTTGTTGATTTACTTTCAAACGACAGGCGCCTTTCAACACACAGTTTGCACACAGCACTAACGAGGTTTTTCTCCTAGAGTACACTGAATTTTATTGCTTAAGTCGATAAATATCTTGTACATCTGTATTGCAGTCGCATGTCAATCAATCTTGTAAAAATTTTGATGAAGCTTGGTTAGTATTTTCTTGTTTAATTTAGTAACCATATTTGTATAACTTGGATGTTTCTTTCTTTCCTGTTATTACAGGAAAGAAATTCAAATTCGTAACAAGCAGCAAGCCAAGGTGGCTTTGCCGTTCTAGGTTTGTTTTGGTTTTTTTTTTGGTTTACATCTGCCACTGGTGCGTTACAAGGTCTGCATGAAATAAAGTCTAATTACACAGTCCGATCCCCAAACGTTGCCAATCTGTGATGTATGTACTGGCCTAAATGTTACTTTTCACGAGGCAAACCCAACTGGAATTCATTTTTTATTTATTTATTAATGTCCCCAGACCCAGAAGAAAACTAAATTAACCATTTTCAGTGAGTGAAAACGGTGAACCTTAAAGTATATGTCACATGCGAAATAAAAACAACGAAATTATGGTATCGCCTGCTGTGCCATCCTGCATCGCTGGTTACTGTCAAAAGCATCTGCAGCCACAATATTAAGTAAGATGGAACAAAACCAATGAAGTCAAGTTCAGCTGCCAAGTGAACTACCAACGCGCTTACATATGCAAGCCCCTCACACATGTCCATGAAAATCTCAAACGATATTGGGTGTCGAAAATAGTACAAGCGAGGAGCAGCAAACAGATAACTGTCACGTGGTAAAAGGAGCTGTCTACCAGGCGATGCAAGAGACGTAACATGAGCTGAGAATTGCCTTATTTCAGTGGAATTCAGGAGAAGTTATTTTCTGTAGATCTTTGGGAATTTGTATCATACAGACCCCTGTCGCTCCGAGTGGCTTTCTTTTTCCACATAGTACCATGGAACCGAATGCATTTGGGCACACCCACTATTTTACATAAATTAGGTTATGGCTGTATGTGCCAAAAGTCATATTTTCCAAACATTCATGTCAGTGTTACTTTGTTTTGAGTACATTGTTTGAATTTTGGAATAATGTTCATCAAACTGCCATGTAAAGATCAGTCCCATATTGGCACAGGTATTGAGACAGCTTTAATCCTGGGCCGATGGTTCCCTTGAGTGTGCACTTGCAGTGCTGATCAGTGACTTGATGCTACGTTCTTGTTGAACTCCGGGAAAACTATGAGACGAAAGCAGTGGAAATAAAAAGACAAGATTTCTAGGAGTATCCAATTTTTTGATATTTTGATTTAAAAAAAAGCTCGATTCGATATTCGATTTGAAAAAAAATCACGGTTTTTGATAATTATCGTGATATCAATCAGGCCTATGTGGCGTCATCGGTCATGTGACATTAAAAGTGCAGTTTTTCTCCATTGGTTTTGAACACATTTTATTTGATCATTGACTTGAGCTTGGTACTTTGATGAAACTTTTACTTTTACTTATCTTTAACATGAAAAAAGACTGTTTATTTGAAAGCCGAAACAGTTCATTTGTCTGCTGACAAACATATCTCTAGTTTTCATTACATCACAAGTCCACTATCGAGGCAGTGAGAAAAATCCAAAAGAACAATTCATAAATTGTTAAAAAATTTCATGCAAGCATTATATCACCAACTGGTAAATACATAATGTAAAATGTAATACTAAATGAATATGTCTGGTACTTGGCTCCATAGAAATAGAATATGTAATTTGAGGCAAAAGTTGTCGCTAATCAAGGGTGAACTTTCTGCAATGTATTACCACCGATTCAAAGTGACAGTCAAAGTTTGTAAGAAAAAGAAATGGCCATACTTTTATAAAGTTTTGTAACTCTTTTGTCTTAAGATTATTTCAGTGTAGGACTTGTTGAGCTCTATGGCATCTGCCAAACTGTTCCTTTATACATGTAATTGCAGCCTGTACCTGGAAAAATGCACATCAAACATGTCAAAAAATGGAAGTCAGGAAGGACAAAAACATTAATACGTTTATTGAATTTTAGGCCAACTTGGCCTGATTTGTTATCGTAGATTTTTCTAATTTTAAAATGAGAAATTAAAATTTTGCCAAACTGAAGTGTGTTTAGACTTCAATTCTATTGATTGATTACTTGGTTACACTAGAATGCTGATGTAATCAAGAGATCTGAAAATGTTGATGATCCACAATTGTCCATTGCTCTGAGTTTCCATTCCATTCCGACTTTATGTAAAATTTGCATTTTAAATCAACATTGTGGTATGATTGTAAAAAGGGCTGTTAATGTAAATGTGCTACATTTGATACAATACATGTACCTCAAGAGCCTGACCATTTTTTAGGATTGTTCATTTTCAACTGATTCTATAATTAATGGTTGGGTCATAAAATATTGCCTAATTCAAACAACCATTTGCAAGAATGACTGAAAGTTGTTCTCTGAAGTCTAACCCTCCCCCCAAAATACATATTTTATTGATTCTATTATTGTATATGTACACCAAATTGTACCAGAAGTTACAGTTACCAAAAAGAGGCTAGGGTTGTCCCACTCAAACGTACATTAGTCAGACATATATCTACAGTGTATGTACATTTGTATGTATGTAGATCCACCATGCTGAATGCATTCAGGCAGCTTGAGGAGCGTAGTCTGGCTACAGAGGTGTCACTAATGTGCTGGTCTCCTCGTATGGATCTGGTAGCTTTAGCCAACGTTAATGGAGAGGTGAGTACGCATTCACATTTTTCGTCAAGCTCAAGAAGATGAGCTGGAAGTTGACATTCTGTAGCTGCTGCTGAGTGAGAGATCCTCAACAAATCCAGTGCAATAGAATCATTAGTTGCATCACAAGTCAAGTCTCCTGTGTTGAAGTTGCAAGGGATAAACAATGAAAGCCACCTTAAATAACTTGTACCTTCAGGTTTGATGACTTTTTGTTGGCTTGATTAATTTGTAATGATGCTTGATGACTTACAACTCTGAATTTTCAGAGACTTCCCAATCAGGGAGTTAGTCAGGTTGGCGTAGTTTTTCTTTCCTCACCTTCCAGTCGATCTGCGGTCCGGGTTCAAATCCAGCTCGGTCCTCATGTGGAATGGATTTTCAGTCTTTACATGTACCTGAGTCTGGGTTTTCCCCGAAGCATTTATCCGGGGTTTTCCCTCCCACGTCTGAAACTGAATATTTCTTTATTGTGGTCTTGACTCATTATCATCCTGTAATTGGTGCTATATACGCTATGGGATGAACAGATATAAATACATACATGTAAATAAATAAACTGAATGACTTTTCCAAGTGAAGAGACAGAGATGCTCTTGATTATGCATGTACATGTGAAAGAACAACCCAATCCCTCTCAGATCTAAATTCTCCAAGATGTTTAGAAGAGTTTGAAAAAGTTCAGAAGGTTTATGGTAAACATGCCTTGATAGAAATTTGGGTTAGTAATTGAAGGAGACAAATATTTGTCCAACTTAATGGAATTAAATAACATTTGCATCCCATCACGTGGCCCATATTTGGGCTTACATTTGTGTTTCACTTGAGGGAGATATTTAATGCACTTTAACCCAAATTCCTAGGGTATGCATATCATATTAGAATTAGATTCAGAAGTATTAAGGTGAAAAAAATAGAAGGCTTGGATGATATTGCATGTTTTTCATACTGCGGGTTCCATGATAAAAATCACTGTGATGTTTACTGACATTGCGGTTTATAGTATTTTTTATAGTGGGGATATTACATCATCAAAAAGCAGCAGCCCTAAGCCGACATTCACTGTGAATGCTAAAACAACCATGGGCCAGCATGAAGGTTGATTTTGATGTGGCAAAATCCCCTAAACCTAATAAATATTGCCATTTATCAATCCATGTGTTCAAATATTTATGTTATCGAATAATGAAAAAGGAAGATTAAATTGGCTACATTTTCGGAGCCAGAATGGTGCACTATTCCAACATATGAAACTATACAATGGAATCAACAGAACAACTTCTTGAGTTAGGACCACAACAAAATGCACTCCTGTGAAACTTTGTTTAGGACTTCCACTGGGACAGCGTAAAGTACACCAAAACCAAGAAATACCTCACACAGGCTCTAAAAAATAACTTGACATTATAAACTCATGCAGGACTCAGTGGCGATCTTTTGCATGAGCACTGATTCAACTTCCATACTGGCAATAATAAACTACCTAAGCGTGTTCCCTCATTTTCAATAAAGAATCAATAAATGTACAATATACATTGTACATGTACAATATACCTGTGAAAAATGCATAGTTTTCATTTTTTTTAAGTTGAGTGAGGGCACCCTTTACTGCATCACCAATACTGCCCAAAAGGGCCTAAATACATTGTACACTGTGTACATTGTTCCTTTGAAAGGAAAAATGAGGATTCAAAGAGGATAAGTATGTCCCACTTAAGCACACCACAGGAGAATATTTGTTGTTGAATGCACATTAGGAGTTATCGAAAACAAAGAAAATCTCATATGTGATGTTCGGTTGGAACAGCCACTCCAACACATGAGGCAGGCAGACAATATTGCCACTGTGGTGTGGTGGCACTGTAACCATTCTAATGAACAGACAAGCAAGCAATGCCACCGACTCTACAAAAACAAATCTTCAAAGGCTTTTAGTTGGTGTTTTGACAGCTGCTTCGGTTTCATGTTACCAAGTCGACAATCACATCTTTCCACTGTAAATGACAATGCAGACTTTACACGGAATGACTTGAACCAAAAAGAATGGAATGAAATATGCTGGTATTCCTTTATTTTACTAGGATTCTGCAAACATGAACACAGCAAAAATACTGTGGTATTAAATGTCCATACCAAGTTTGCAGGTATCTATGGATCATTAATTTTGTTTGGTATTGAAAAAGCCACTATTCTGTAATTGAATATCATTGAAGACTGAGTTTTTTAAATTCATGTGAACGTAATTTGAATTTTCCATTGTAAAACACTGTTGCTATACCTGTATACCGGTACCTTGTGATTTGGGGTAAGAGATGCCTTGCAACCTTACACTGCTCTCAATGGATGAGAAGGGCACAAAGGAACCAGTCCATCCCAGAGTCTGTGGTTGCTATGCAAAAGCTTACCCTGAATCACAAGGTGTAGCAACAGTGTTTTAGTATGGAGACTTCAAATTTGTACATTTATGTGCAATCGGATTTAACTCAATGTACCAGAGTTTATTCAAATTTGACTCGCAAATGGCTTATTAAACTTGACAATGTTGATGCACTAGTATGTTATCACTTTTAAACTTTGATGTCTTAGATATTGACTTTTTTGTTAACTAAATAGATGTTACATTTTGCCTCAAATGTGATGTAATGTTCATTCACCTACAAAATTTACAAGTTGCTTTTATGCCAGAAAAGAGTAAAACCAGTTAAATCTGTCTGACGAACTTGTGTCCAAAGAATGTGATTAAATCCCAAAAAGAATGGCTTTGGAAATGTTATCTGATAACATTGTGATGTGTATTTTACATGTACATTAATAGTGTGCATTAGCCTTTTGGAGATGTACAGATAATAGTTGAAATATCACATCTCTGATAAATTTACTTGTGTACTGTATGTATTTGGCAGGTGTTACTTCAGAGACTAACTTGGCAGAAGCAACCAGTATGGGTCCTACCACCTCCTGCAAGTGAAGAAAACAAAAAGGTCAATGTACTGTCATGGAGACCAGATGGCAAAGGTACATTTATTGACGGTGTTCTAAGCATTTTGAAGCTTGTTATGGGGTCCTTCTTGTCTCTTGGCTGCATGGAAGTGGTTTCATTTGTTTTGTACAATGTCAAATGTTTATAGGGTGTTGGCCATAAGGTTTTAGCTTTACCCTTGTTCAACTTGTTATTGCCAGTTTTAAACACCAGTTTATGAACACAACTCATGTTTTATTCTCTCCCTGTTGTAACCAGCTTACAACTGCCCTTTATGCCACTATAGTTGCTTTTTTGCCATGTTAAATACAATAAGAAATAAAGATAAAACGTAAACAATATATGCATAATGCATAGCTGAAGTTACAACACAAAAAACTGTACAGAATATAGATGCATACAATTCCACCCTGAGATGGCGCTGTTGCCCAAATAACATTAATGTGGGCTATGCCATGGACTATGCACACTAGGCTCCAGAACATGTACATGTGGCAAGAAAATATATTAACACAGCAATTCCGCTTATGAGTTGGATTAAATGAGAAAGAGAACTGATTATATGAGAGTGCTGATTAGAATTGATGCTAGAGTGAAACTAAAGAGTCACTATTAAATGTACTGAAAAATAAACCCCATTATGTTATAAAAAACATCACCCTAATTACCTTCCAAATTTATGACAATATCCCATTTACAGAACATCTAATACTGTAAATGTTACAGAATTCCTTACTGCTGTTTAAGGATCCAGGGTCCAAGAAACCTTGCAACTGAACGATTAACTCTATCTTATTGAATGAAAAGTATTTATGTTGGGAAAGAAATGTGAAGTAAAAGTAGCACCTCTGTTGACTGAATATGAATAATTATCCCTAAACACCAGTTATTACATGAGAAACTCACCCCCTTTTGACTATCCTGGCCAAGTCCTCCCCTCACAACTCAGCCACTAAGCACACACCCTGACCAAGTCCTCTCCTGACAAACTTTGCCACTAATCATTCCCTAGCAAAGTCCTTCCTGAAAATTTAGCAACCAAACACTCCTTGGCCAAGTCCTCCCCTGACAAACTCTGTCACTGGCTAAGTCCTTCCAACAATCTCAACCGCTAACCACTCTCTTGCTAAGTTCTGTACAGTGTTAAATAGATTGGCTTTATTGTAAAAAAGGGCTATACCAGTATCTAGTCAATTTATAACGGGTTTTGCCCTTACCCAACGTATGTATTAATAAACACTGTATGCTCAGTGCTTGTCCGAGAGCTTCCGAAAAAATTCACAAGCTTTCTCGGGTGGGACTCGAACCCACGACCTCCTGCTTACTAGTGCAGATGTCTTAACAACTTGAAGTTTCAGGTTTTTCTCCGTAGGTTTTTACTATGCACTGTAATCAATCTTAATGACTTAGTTGATCTCAACTTTGGCTTAGGATTACTCTGAGAATTTAAAGAGAAAGGAGACTAAATTTTCATTTGATTTTTCTATATACCCAAGAGTAATATTTTGTAAAAGATATTCAATTCAAATGCAGATTATGGGACATGAATTCGAAGATGCAGTTTTTCTCCGTAGATTTTATGTGCGTTTTTCACACATCACAGATACAGGCAGTCATCCATCTGACTGACTTTGTATTTCGAGTATATTAAGTCCATCAGCCCAAAAAGGCGTCAGGAAAAAAAAATTGTCACTGTGACGTCATCAGGGGTCATGTGACATGACATTAAAGGTGTGTCATTTAAAGCCCTTTATATTCTGAAGTACATGCCTGATTGGGTTGCAACTTTGAAGATAACTAGAAAGGAAAGTGTTATACTTGAATATTGAATTCACGTGATGATCACGATGATGATGTCAGATTTGGTGGAAACATTGCATGTACATGTAGCCAGAAATGACATATTGAAAAACTTCAAAATCCGAAACATCTCTGTGGTTGTACATCACAGCCACATCTCAAGTTTTATCTAACCTCTGTACATGTCACTCTATATTTGCTTTTAATGGTTTACTGTTCATACTGAGTGGTACTTGTAATTTATATCTAATTAAGTATGTCTTCCACTGTCGGCTACTTAAACCACTCACTCTGGCCAAGTCCCCCTACCCCCGACAAACTCAGCCACCAACTACTCACTCTGGCTGGGTCCTCCCCTACAAACTCGACTACTAACCACTCACCCTAGCCAAGGCTTCTCCTGACAAACTTATCCTGACCAACTCTACTTTTTGGTCACTTTAGGACCATCTCATCTAGGGCCAGTATACAGAGCCTCAATATTGTAGCCGTGCTAGTTCCCTTAGTCTTTAGTAAATGTCCTTTTTAGGTCTCTTTTTGTTTGTTTTCATGTTCTGCATGCTTCTAATTGTCCATGTATATGATATTTTTTTATTTCATGTGTATCAACTGCAGTTCAGCCTCTAGCTGCATTGTTGTTTATTTAATAAGCCACTGATAATACCCCCTGATCAACTTGGAGACATCAAGCCAACATACCCCCAACCAACTTCCCTCCGTCTGCCTTATCCAAAACCACCTACATGTACATGTAACCCCCAATGAACTAACTCCCTGACCAACTGACATTGATCCTGCCAAGTTTTCTCAAAGATGAACTGTCAGTGAGAAATTACCCTTTGGCGATATGAAGTTTTAAAATTAAAATTATAATTTTTATTGATACTTCAGTGCTTTTTTCTTGTGTTTTATTTTGTTCACAGTTCTGGCAGTAGGATACATGGGTGGTCTTCTTCTCTTGTGCAGTGTAGAAAATGCTGATGTATTACATAGTATGGAATTTAAATCCACAATCACATGCATGCAGTGGGTTGATGTAAAGCAGCAAGAGTTGCAGGATACTAAGACTACAGACAGCCTCAAAGGCCAAGAACAGGATTTATTTGCTGATGGCTCAGATGTATTCCTGCCAAAGCTTCCACCACTTGCCAAAATGTGAGTTCAACTGAAATTGGATTTAAAAAGATGTTTCTGTAAAAAAAGAGGGGAACTGCAAATTGCATAGAAATTTAAGTAATAAATACATGTACATGATTCTAGCAGGTGGTCAAAGTTGTCACCAAATGGTAAATATTTACAAGTTTGGCCACAATCTTGAGAGTTTCCTGAGGAAAATTTGCCATAAAAATTCTGTGTAGATGTACATACATGTAAGTAATTGTTTTTGCTTTTGGCACTTCCTTGCCAAGCAAGCTCACACTTATAAGCAGTGTCTCAACAAAGATATTTAGGATTTATGTATAGACTTTTACAATCATCATATCAACCAGTTAGGCCAAACAAAAAAAGCTGTTTCTGGTTACCTGACCCAACCTAGAAAATCACGCGGAACCCATATCATTTTATTTGACAAATCAATAAAATATAAAAACTTATGGTGACTTTCCCCGAGCCTAATTTTGTGTACATCGCCCTGTACATTGTATTGTTTTAATTCTTTTTGGCTTGAGATGGAGGCTCTTGTATGTGTGTATTTCAACAACTATCTACTTTACTACTCAGTCGCAGTGCTGATACGTAATATTGACTTGCACATGTACAGTATTAATCTGACTTAGTACCTGTTACAGATGTACGCCCCCCAAAAAAGCCAGACCATCATCCGACCCTAATTTTTGGGCTATACAAAATTTAGAGAAAGAAAAAAAGAAATTTACCCAACCAAACACTCTAATTTATTTTTCCGTGTAATTGAAAACACAACTTATTTTTTGTTTGGCCTAATGTCAAGCAAATATTAAGTATTGAAATGATCCAATCTTTTGAAATCATCAACAAAGATTTGTGCAAGTTAATCCACCTAACATGGTCTCTGTGCATGTACACTTCTGTCTTTTCCAATGCAGACATTCAGCAAAGGCTTTTTCCGAGGACAATGTTGAGGATGCTAAACGAATAAAAGGACAGAAAAGGCAAGTACAATGAAATGTTCATTTACAAAGAAATAATGAACACATGATTTTTCTAAAAGTCATACACTTTACAAAATGTGACCTTCCGAGACAAAGAGAAATACTCTGTTGGTGAAGGCATGTATGGTGTCTTTGATTTGCTGAAAATGGAAATGGTTCAAAACTGCACTTACATTTATTGATTCATAGTAGCATTCTTCCCAGTTTATTTTTTCTGCAAGCCAAACAGATTACTCTAATTGTGTAGTTTTTCATAGCTCTACACAGTAGCATCTGTACTGTTTTAACCCACTGGCTCAGTCATTTCTATTCGTTTTTAACCACTCACATTGGACAATGTTTGTAAACACTATCTCGCCAGACAGGTACAGCTGACAGATTAAAATGCCAAGTGCGTCAACTCCCCTTTGGTGGTTGACATTTAAACACGCTAATCCCCGCTTTGTACATGCACACCTAAGCCTGTAGAAGTGGAACTTGTGTTGAACTTGAACTTGGTTGCTGTACATGACCTGTTACGGTGCAGACAGGGTTTGCATGCCTCCTGGAAAACCTGGAAAATCCTGGAATTTTATACCCATCGTGGCAAGTCCTGGAAAATGCTTCATTTTTGAAAGAAGTCCTGGAAATTGCAGTAAAATCAATATTACTTTTAAAATGAGACAAAAATGATCTAAATAAACTGTGACCGAAAATTTACTGCAATTGATCCGTCCCCGTGTACATTGTTGCTATTGTGCAGCGCAATACAGTTGTACATATTCACCATGCGTGGTGTACACACTCAAAAACACACCCAAGCTGCATGCAGCGCTATGAGCAAAATCAATTTTGGATGGTGCCCACAATGTGATTTTCTATTTTGCATGTGCGGGGCATCAAGGATATCATTACTAAACTCTCTTGTCAGTGCAACATAAATGTACAATTGTCCAAAGAGGTTCTGACTAGGAGACAGTCTTTGACAAGACCAATCCTCAAGTTACAAATCCGTGGAAATGGACGTGAATGGAAGACACCGTAATGTTAAACGGGCAGGCAACACAATCTGCACCAGGATCAGAAAAAAATTTCGAAACCTTGTTCATTCAGGTGGGAAAAGGGCCAACTCACTCGACAAACCTCAATATTTACAATTTTGGTACATCTTTTACTTGTTCATATTTTACCTTCAGGAATTTTAGCCAAATATGAACATGACAAAGAATAACTAAAAGTAAAGTATGCATAGCCTAAATTGCAAGACAAAAATGGCCAAAAATTGCACCTGAAGACTGTAAAATGCACCATGGACATCTACATTTCAAAATTTTCCCGGGGCCCTTAAGTGGGCTTTAGACCCCATGCTGTACATGCTTGCAATTTCTGGTATTTTTTATATGTTCCAGTCACACCTCTGGTACTATGTCATTCGTGCCTCAAAACAATCTATGCAAAATCAATCTTTGCTGCTTATTCTATCACATACATGTAAGTAATTTATATTTGAAAAAGGAGTAATAGATAAATGATTATAGTTGCATGTAAGTTTAGGAGTTTGCCATATTTACAACAACCTTCACGCTGACCAGTGGTAGTTTGTTTTCCCAATGAATATCTGCTGATTGCCGCAGCTTTTTGAAGACATACATGATATACCCCCAATTCAAAGAATATTATGATATTTGTAAACATTGTATTTTTGTAACGAATACTGAGGTATAAAAAAATGCAATACCATCAAGCCTTATGCAGATACACGACCAACTGTTGTGTCTTAGTCGTAGAAACCTTCGTTGAAAAGTTTGCCGCTTTCAATCATTTACAGCATTTGCTACTTAATTTATCATTGGCAAGAAAAAGAAAAAAGTCCGTTTTGGAAAGAAATTGAGAATTCTCTGTTTTGTTCTTTCAGCCTTAATGTTCTAGTTGTTGGTTTACATGGTGGCATCCTGCAGTTGTATGCATATGGCATAGCTGCTATTGGAGAAATCAAGCTCTGTAGACTGTGTCAAGAACAAAGGCCAGACAAGCAGGTTGGATTTACATGCATATACACTTTACTCTGTTGGATATTTTCAGTTGTAGGCCTAATGTTTGTTAGAGCTTGGGTTTCCTAGACTACATTGAAATGGACAGGCACTATGTTTCAGTCACGGCAAATTGTCAATCAATATGGGCATTTCACAATAGTGCACCACCAAGAGTTTGCAACTCATTGGCCAATCGTAATGCACGAAAGGTGCCGACCCTTTCCAAACTTGCATTACCGGTTGACACATTCGGACTTGTCAAACCATTCAAAATCATGCACATTGCAAGTGGCCGTATCCTATAGTTGCGAACTCTTAACAGCGCTCTATTGTGAAACACCTATATTCTGTGATGCTTTCAATGGACTTTAAAGTGTGAGGCACTTATTCCGATACAGTCTTCACAAGGAAGTGTGACTGCATCTAAATAATACTTTGCTGCTTTGTGTAAGGTTATTAAGTCTGCTGCCTGCAACCTTTGCAGATTACCAATACATATGCATTATTTCCTATTCCATTACTTAATTTGCTAAATTCGCGATCAACCAGCAGTGCGCCCTCACTTGCTTGACTCCGGCGGAAGTGGCAGCCAAGATCTTCCTCTTTTTTTAGCACTATTACTAATGGACATGTTTATGGAAGTGGCAGCCATGATCTTCCTCTTTTTTTAGCACTATTACTAATGGACATGTTTATGGAAGTGGCAGCCATGATCTTCCTCTTTTTTTAGCACCGTTACTAATGGACATGTTTATGTCCAGCTGTGATATTTTTGAGAGTTTTCCTTTGCTAAGCTTCGTTTCAGTGTCATTTCTCGATCACTCCATTATTTTCTCTACCCTAAGTCATTTTCGTTCTTCTGAATGGTAAGACCTGTTCCCTTTATTCCTTTTGAAGTCCTTTTTCAGTTGTTTCGGCATTACTGCTGAAGCAGCTATTGTTTTTATTCTCTGGTTCGCGATTGAAAAGTATAAGACACCTTTCCACAGACATGAAAAGAAACCCCTCAAATTGGCTTTCTTTTGCCACAGTTCTAACAATAAGCAATGTCACAGGTGGCCTGCAGTGGTTTTTTGAGAAAAAAAATTGGATTAAGAGGGCAAAAAATGTGTGATTGCACAATACCCATTTGTACACATCAATTCACCTGTTGGGAGGATAGGACTTAGGGTGATTTTTACTTGGTCAAAACATGACCTGTGTCAGGAGACCAGATTTATTGGCACAGAGAACTTCTCCAAAATTCACAAGTTGTTGTTATTAGGATTAAGTGAGACATGCTTTAGGTCATTAAATCTGATTAAAAAAAATGAAACATCCCATGGAATCATAACATCATGATTAAGAAAAATTCAATTGTTAAATGGCACTTTGGCACTTTAGTAAACGCGATTGCTTTCAAACTTTGCATAAAGGTAGACTACCACCCAAGTATGTGCCACATACGTATTTGTCATGATGACATCATCACTTGTCAAGTGACAAACCCACAAAGTTGAATTTCTTTTTCAGGCTGGTATCTCTGGAACCATTTTTCCAATTAGTTTGAAATTTTGTACAGAAACAAATTAAAAGGTGTTATAGGTGGAACTTTGCGTGCCATCATGATGACATCATCACCCAAATTTTTCACGCTTTTTAATCTTTTTGCCATTTTGACATTCTTTTTGACGTATATCCTGAACAAAACAAGTTTTTTCAAAATTCTTTTTGCTAGAACTCCAGTAGGCCAATTAGGTATGTTGGAAAATCTTGTTACTTCATGATGACATCATCAAAATCAAGACTTATATTTTAGACTATGTCTGATCGTTAGGAAATTCACTATGTTCTCATCAACAGTCAATCTCCGATTACATTTTCGATTGAACGTCCTCATAACCTCATACATTTATTTTTTTATTGCATGCATACTAGCTTCCAGTCATCATTCTAGAACTTTTTCAAGTCAAATTTTGGCAGATAAACTGTGAATTTCAATTCAACAATTTCAGATATACGTGCAGGTTGACAGGATTTATATTTAAGATACAAGTACATGTGTGTGAAGTTATGGCGCTTTTTAGAAGAATAATCGTCTAATTAATTTTCGCCAATGTTATATACACAGTGACCTTAGGCCTCAAGATCGTATGCACACATTGGACAGCTACTGTTGGCTGCCGCCGTGCCACAAGTGTGAATGCCCTGTAACGTGTAGTTCATGCTAAGTAAGAGTAACTCGTCTGTATAAATATAATGATGTAATATATTTCGAGAGAGTGTGTGTCTTGGTTCCTTCGGGGTTTCTGTATCAACAGCATTTCTAACAAAACATAGTTTTAATCTGTCAAAATGGACTACTGTTCTGTTACCACTCTGCAAATGCTTAATACAATAAACTGCATCAGATATTCTCTTCATTACGACATAAGGGCCCTTCCAGTGAGACTGAAGTTTGGGATTCAATCCAACCTTTCTAACAAAGTTATAAAGCCAAACGTTGTCACCTACAGCATAAGGTGTACCCTTTAATTTGACATCATACAACCGCTTTTGTCTCCTTTGTTCACCAACAATTTTCTGTCTGGCCACATTAAAAGTATGTTGTAGCCGTTCGTATAAATTGGACAGCAAAAGAAACTTGTCACTTCTATCAAAGGCCACACATAAAAATTCACTCCATAGAAAAAAACAATTTTTGTAGACAGGTATGCTCCAATACCCCTTACTAATCACATGCCCAAAAGCAAGTGATTATCTTCATAACAAAGAAGAAATTGACATGTACAGCACCTTGGTTACTGAATCAAAAGTCACAGAATGCAACAGAAAGAGCCGTACGTTTTACGCAGAAATCAATGTCACAGGACAAAAAAAAAGAAGTCACAATTGTTACTTTTCAATAATGTGTATGTGTAGTCAGTAAGGATAAGGTACAGAAACCACTCATGTACATCATTTTGACAAAACAGGTGTTCATTTTGTCATTGGTTGTTTAAAATGTTGTCCATTCATGGGTCATTTTGGCTTGGTGGAGAGTGCTTTTGTGTGTGACTTTTGATCCAGTAACCTGAAAAGACATTGCTAATAGAAGCACATGTTACTCTTGTATGGGTAACCTTTGTGATGCAGGCCCCAGACCTAGACGGAACCCTTGAAAGAGCATCGGCAATTTTATGCCGATGACCAGGCCGATGGTGAATGTCAAAATTAAAACTACCTAACGTCTCCAGCCATCTTGCAAATTGATCCTTGACATCTTTGAAGTTATACAGCCACCTCAAGGATCCATGATCTGTTCATAAGGTAAATTTCTTCCCATACAAGTAGTGTTTATATTGCTTTGTAACACTTCACAAACTGACCAAGAGATTGATTTACATCCCGAGTTAAATAAGCTGTATGAACGTTGTGCTGAAGCATTGAATACTTCCCAAAGGGTTAAATTAAAAGAATTGTTTGCGGGTAGGATCATGAATTTTAAGTCAGGTGAACTTGGATAAACTGATGTAGTTCATCACAGAATTAACACGGGATGCTCGGCGTCGTCGGCAACCCGGACGGCCTTTACCTCATCATCAACGACTGAAAGCACAAAAACAGGTAGCAGACATGTTGGAAGCTGGTTTCATCTCTCCATCCAATAGTCCTTGGGCCAGCCCTATAGTTCTGGTAAAGAAGAAGGATAATTCAATAAGATTCTGTGTCGATTACATGGAGTTGAATAAGGTAACCATCAAGCATATCCGCTTCCCCGAGTTGATGACACCCTGAATGCATTGGCAGGTTCCAGATGGTTCTCCTCATTAGATTTGACAAGTGGGTACTGGCAGGTGGAGATGAGCCCTCAAGAAAAAGAGAAGACTGCCTTTACGACAGGTAATGGCTTGTACGAATTTAATGTCATGCTATTTGGTCTTTGTAATGCTCCCAGTACATTCGAACAACTAAATGGAGCTGGTGTTGGCTGGTCTTCACTGGGATAGAATGACTTCAGCACCTGTCCTAGCATTCCTCGATTTTTCACTGCCGTTTATATTGGACACGGATGCTAGCAGCAATGGTATTGGCGGTGTTCTGTCACAGGTGCAGGATGGACAGGAACGGGTCATTGGTTATGCCGGCCGCAAATTGAGCAAAAGTGAACAAAACTATCTCCATCTTTATCACCAACTTCATCAGCAGATTGAAGAAGGGCAATCTGTGTGCCCTTATACAAAGTGCATGCATCAGGCTGTAAATTAAAAACCCTCAGTGGTATTTGACCCTGGTCAGCACAAATAAATGTTCGACCAACCAACTACCCGTTATCCTTCTTGTAAAACATTGCTGAAGTTTCAATGATCCCTTGTGATGTACTAGTATTGCGATTGTGTAACCTCCAAGGAATTACTACTTCTTGTTTGTTTTTTTCAGGATGGTCACCGTTTGGCCACTGCTACAGTAGACTGTTCCCAAGGCTTCATATTCTGTCGGATACTTAAAGGCATCATTTCCCACATGTGAGGATGTAAAATGGTAACTGAGGATCCTGTATCAATGAGAAACTTGATATTAACACCATGAATACAACCTTGTACAAAACAAACAGAGGACTGGGCCTGATCATCTAATTTTGACTTAGCAGTGGCCCCCTGCTCAGCCCACTGCTGTTTTCCTGTACTTGTGACCGACCTTGGTCTACTGAAGTAGATTTAGAAGATGAGACCCGCTCAGCGGCGAGTTCTGGACACTTCGACCATCTATGCCCAGGCTGTTGACACTTCCAGCAGACAAGTGGTCCCTTGTACAGATTGTACAGTTAACAGATTGTTTTCCATTTATTTCATATGTTTTCTATTCATCTCACATATTATACAAATTGTGATTCAAAATGCTGTGCATCTGAAGCAGCTCTGTGGTTGTTTACATACACATTCCACCAGTCATATTTTCATTTCAGTCTTGCGCAGGTTAGCAGACTGCCCTTTGACCTTCACCTCGACTTTCCCCAGTTGGATCTGTCTCTACGCTTCTCGTCT